AAGCGTCGACCGCCGTGGTAGACGGCAGCTGAGCAGGGCGGTGCTTGCCACCCTCGCTGCCGCACTTCTCTGTCTGCTCCCTTCGACCGCAGCACACGGACCCAAGACGCCACAAGAAGTGGCCGCTTTTCATGCGCGGCAACAAGGAGCTTATCACTGTGCGCCGATAGTCGAAGCCATGACTCAAGCTCGAAAGCGCTCCTGGGCTCAAAAAGTGTTGGGTGTCGGTGTGGGCGGAGAAGCGGGGCAGATTGCAGATTCCAACACATACATCGATGGCTACTTTGAGAAGCACTCTGAAGAGGTCAAGCAGACCAAAGCTGCCGAGGAGGAGGAGGAGGCAGAGAAGAGGAAGAATGGCAAACAAGTGATGGAATGTTATCCCGAGACTGCATCCTCGATCAAGAATTCCACCTGCGTCCTCGCTCCAGAAGTCACACCTGGTCCCTACTATCACACTTCGGGTCACCCCATCCGGAACAGTATGGCAGAGTGGCAATTGGGTCTGCCTTTCGTGATGAATGTTGGCGTCATCGACGTAGAGACTTGCAAGCCGGTACCCAACGTTTTGGTAGACTTGTGGCACGCCAACGCAACCGGTTTCTATGCCGGTCACAATCCCAAGCCTAAAGAGGTCGTCGCACAGCCCGCTACGTCTGGCATCAGGCAAGGCCTGTTGCCCGCTTTCAAACGGACGGATGACACGGCCACTTGGCTCAGAGGTGCTTGGCCCACGGATGGAAATGGTGTAGCTCAATTCACTAGCGTCTTTCCTGGCTATTACACTGGTAGAGCGACGCATGTCCATCTCAAGGTTCATCCAGAATGGAGAACCTTGCCCAACGGTACGTTTGAGAGCCGTAGGCTTGTGCACACGGGCCAATTCTTCGTGGACGATCTGCTGAACGAGGAGATCGACAAGGTGAGTCTGAAAAGATGATTTGCTCGATGTTGAGATACGCACTCTTTGAGCATGACGTACGATCCGACGCTGCGCTAATCCGATTTGCCCTCCCCGCGCGCGACAGCTTCAGCCCTACTCCGAGAACCCTATCCGGCACCTATCCGGAAGAGGTCGCACGCGCAATTGGGAAGACTCTTTGCACATTTTCGACGAGGCTCATCGAGGTGGCTACATGCCCACATTCGACATTGAGCCCCTGGGCATGGTTCTCTCGCAAGGTCTGGTCGGCTTCGTCACCGTCGGTGTCAACATGAGCGCAAACTTTGAGAGCGTCTGGCACCCCAACATGGGAACGCCTGACCCAGTCGTCGTGCCCAAAAAAGAAGGCCCTAGGAGCGTCGAGCTCTGAGATCAGCAGGGGCGGAGGAGCGATGCGCCAGCGTTCTACTTTCTGCGTTGCCGACTTCCACCTCTTCCCCATAGCGTCGCGGAAACGCCCCATCTCCAGGTCTGCGTTGCGTCGCTCAAGCCACGTATTCTAGTGTACAAAACGATTCTGCAAACAATATTTACTGCACTGCCCTGACCCTTTTCGGCCATGTCGACAGGCATCATCGTCATCATACTGTCTCGCCTGATAGACTCTCCATTCGTGTTCGCAAGAGCGGGTGTCATAGTTGACGCATGCAAAAACAGCATTGTATAGGGATACTTGACACAGACAGATACAAATGGCCCGCGCACTTCTCTCGAGGGCGGCGCAGCAGGAATGCGAAAAAAAGGTCCGGCGTTGCAAAGTGCGAAAGGTGGGCAACCTGGTTCGCAGAGATATTTTGAGCCATCACGATACTCCGCAAGTGATCACAGCATCAAAAGTCGCGAGTAGTGGAGCGACGCACAGCCGGCGATCACCGGAACAAGCCTCGAAGGCGTGCAGTTGTGCGCGTCGACGGGGCGGGTTGAGGCGAGGGAGACCTTCGAGAAGTAGCGGCCGAGTACATCGAGCTTGCATCGTTGGAAGCGTAAGACGAGCTTGCGCCGCCCGATCGTCCCAATGTCGAGAGGGGAGGTCTGAGAGAATTGAGCGAGCGCTTGCCGCCCGTAGGTGCAGGAGAAGCAGGCACCGTGGCAACGCCAAAGTCGACCATGCTGCCAGCGTCGGAAAAATTAGAAGGGGGCGCCAGGCCGTTGAAGGAGCCGTACGAGGCCGGATCGGCAGGCGGCGGAACGCTAGGTGGCGTCTCCTTCTTCGACATTGGCACCTCCGACACTTTGCCTTCCGTTCCATCTTCGACTTCAAAGTGGCGCCTGTGCTTCCCCTTGAGATTGCTCACTGCAACGGTCAGCACTCCGCGCCTCGTGATCGTCGCCTTGCCCATCAACAATCGAGCAGCATAATTTGCAAAGTGTTGCCTACCGACGCGCTGCGCAGCAGCTTGCAGTCCATCTATGGCTCGATCGCGAAGCACAGCCTCTCGATGTGCAGGATCTCCAGCGTCCAGATACTTGACGCCGGGTTGGCGAGTACCCATAATGTGATGCGCTGGCAGCTTGAGGGGTGTGAAGGATGCGAGGCGTACGATGCATTGGATAACGTACACCCACTCGACGTTGCCAGTATCTTTGCAAGTGTGACACCTAATGCTCATGCCTCGTGCACGCGCTTCCATGCACTCCGTACAGCGCATGACTGTGCGCGTCGAGCTCTGGTTGTGAAGCGAGCGAAAAGAGCCATGAGCACGAGACCATGATCGGTGTGGACCGCTTCATTATCTTTTGCTCACCATCTCAATGTTGCTCTTCAGCTTCTTGCGCCTCACGATGCCTTTCGCGTCAATCGGGATCGCCCAAGGATCAGCAATTTCGGGCAAATGATCTTCTCGGATGGCTGCGCTCGTGATTGTGAAAGGTGTTAGTGAACTGGATTTTGCGCAGGTAAGTGCCCCCCCCCCATTCCTGACTCACCGTCATGCCTTGCAGCACCTCGTACAGTCCAACGACCATTTCGTTGCTCTGTCCACACCTCGATCGTTACAGCAGCGATCTCATCCTTGCAGATGGCTTCTATCGCGAGTTCCTTTTCTCTCGCTTCGAGTTGCTCCTCCCTCTTTCGCATCTCTTTTTCGCCGCCCACGAGCACGCTCCAGCCTGGTCTCTCCGTCGCATCGAATTCCGCTTTTCTAGAGCTCAGAGGACGCAGAGCGCTGGATTTGCCTAGATTGGGAAAGGTAGCTACGAGCCTTCTCCTGATACCGAATAGGGACGTCTGCTCGGTGATGACTGGAAGCTCCTCGACCAGGTCAATGTCTTCCTCCTTCAGCCGCATCGAGACACCGAAAAGCGTGCCGCGAGAGCCGGTGGAGACAGCAGGACTAGAAGGATTAGAGTCTCGATGAGCCCGTTGAAGACCTTCGTAGACCAGTCCTTGGCTGTCAGGACTTTCCGAATCTCGACCTCCATTCGAAGTGATGCCGGACGGGAAGCGCGACGAATTGGTCGTGCTGCTTCTCGAATCGCTGTTGGCCGTGCCAGGTCTATTGTATGGTAAAGAGCTGCCCCCAGCAAATCCTCCAGCACTTACACCGGCAAGTCGGAGACTAGACACTGCGCTATCCGCACTCGCATTGGCATGCTTGTACCCAGCCCAATTTGCTTGCTGAACACCCAGATATCTGCCTGCTCCGCTGCCTGCGCTGCTTCCCGTTGGGCTGTTGGGAGCCCGAATACCGCTCGCTTCCGTGCCGTTACTGTCTTGAGATCCAGCGCGCGAATGAGATGGCACTCGCGGCGCAACCCGAGAGGTGGAGCTGGAAAAGTACCTGTGGCCACCCCCAGCTGCGCCACCTCGGGTGGTCTCTGCCAGATCTTCCATGCTCTCTGTCCTCGGACCCACGTCCGATCCAGGTGCGCTCGCATTCCTCATCCGCGCATGTTGTCTGGAAGCAGCTCCGACATTTTCGGAGCTGTTGGACGCCCACGCAGAGTCTGGACCGGTCAGAGTGCGCAGACCAGGTCGTTGGGCTTGCTGAGCGTGGCTGACGCCTTCAGTCGCCGTCGCCGCCCTGGAGCTCGACGCCAGTATGAGAGGGCGCTGCGCCGGACGATCGGCTGAGCCGACCGAACTAGAGTGCGCTCTGCCCATAGGCGGCCGAGGCGGGGTCGGAGCCGCCTGGCTGGGACCAGACGCTTGTGGTCTGCGCGGCGGAGAGGGAATGGCGCCGGTAGGAGCCGGTCCAGGCGCTGGGTATCGCCGGGTGACGGTGATCAATTGAGCTGCTTCTGCCTCGTAGGTGCTCTGCGAGTCCGAGGTGCTTCCACTGAGATCCGGTGTTTCAGCCCTACGCGCATCCCGCGGAGCTGTGTGCTGACGCCGTGGCACGTTGATGGTCGGCGCGTTGGAGCCTATGGAGCTCAGAGAGCTGCTGCTTGACATGGCAGGCCTGCTGGCCGAAGAAGCTAATGCCAGGCTACGCAGACCTTGCTGAGGTCGCTGTGCGCCGCGAGGTGGCGGCGGCACGCGAGGAGCTTGCCTGGGGCCTTCAAAGTTCGCGTCACCGCCTTGAGACGCACTCTCGCTGTCCGAGCCAGCCGCGGAGTAAGCAGTCTCAAAGCTCGGTCGACTTGCTCCGCTTCTTGTCGAGTCGAGCGATGGACGACCGCTCTCGCTTTCCGAGTCAGAAGCTACCGGCGGCCCACGTCGTGCTTCTCCGCCGTGACGAGACCGCCTCTGGCGGCTAGCGACTGGGGAAGCAAGAACCTCTTCCCTACCGAGAGGAGCGTCCGCTTCTCGCTCAGCCGGCGGGGGCTGCTCTACCTCTGGCGGCGGCTTGAGAGCACGCACGGTTGGCTGTGGATCGCTATTGCGGACAGTCGCGCCTTCCTTCATGGCTTTCGCGACTCGAGCAGCAGCATCGGCGTCCGTGTTTGCTCTGCTGCGCTTGGGTATGGCCAGATCAGTAGAAATGTGAGCGAGCGCTTTTGTGAGCTGTTCAGGCACAGGTCGACCCTCATCCTCAAGCCTCTGTGCGCGTGTCTTTAATCGTCGCTCCCGTAGGGCAGAGCTACCGACAGAGCCCTCGCTCTCGCTGTTGCTGCGACTATGAGCCGCCTCGTGAAAGGCGTTCCTGTTGTCGCTCGGTCGTCGAGTGTGCCTGCCCGGCCTGATGTGAGCAAGGGTGTCGTTCTCACTGGCAGAAGAGCTATTTTGACGGGAATGGCCGGCGACGAAGGGACGTCGGAGAGGGGTACCCGCTCGACCGTTTGCCACCTCTGGACCGTTCTGAGCAGCATGAGATGCCAAAGCTCGCGACTCCCACGACACCAGGCGGTTGCGTTCGGCTGCTGCTTTGGCCTGAGGTAGAGCCTCTTCAGACAGCGCCTGCGGCTGCTCGTTCTGGATCGGAGGCGCGCGAGGAGTCTCGAGATCTTTCAAAGAGCGCGAACGACGCTGTTCGCTGAGTTGGCCAGACTCGTCAGCCCACGCATCCTCTGTGCCCCTCGTGCTGCTGACCTTGTCAGTGTGACTCTCAGGCGACTTCGTGGGCGGATCAGGAGCGATTGGCGAACTCTTTGCGCTGCGTACCCGGTGACCAGAGCCGCTGGAGCTCTGAGAAGCTCCTCTGTTGTGCATCGTCCCAACCGGAGATCGAGGCGGAAGAGCTCGAGCAGTGCGCGCTACATGCTGACGCAAGCCAGCACTTTTCGGCGTCGGTGCGCTGCTTGACGCATTGGCAGTACTCTGACCACCTGCAGATGATGGAATGGCCGAAGCGGGCACTGGCGCCTGATTCTTGGCGATTTCTATTGAGGCACCTGGAGCCAAGATGGGAAGCGAGGCGTCGTCTAAACGCTGGGCTGTGCTGGTACTGGCAGCATTGCGGCTTGGTCCGCCTGCAGCAAGCATGTGCTGAAACAAGGGGTTGGAGGCGTTGAGTGCAGGTGTGGGCACGACGTTCGCACTGGTAGGCACATCTGCCGGCTGAGGTCTGCCAGCACCGAAGGCATACTGAGGCGAGCTGGCACCACCTGACGTCGAGGGTGGTGCAAGCCTAGCATTTCCGCCCACATTACCGTTTCCCCACATTCTCCACTGACCCATCCCCTGGCCTTTTGCTTGAGCTCGCGCTCGTTCCTCGTTATCTTGCTTCTGCAATTGGCGAAGAGTATGTGCTCTGTGGTCAAAGCCAGGAGCACTTGGCGAGGGACTCGGGCCTTGGCTGGCGCGGTGGGTGAAGACCGACCAATTTGAAAGTGAGGCAAGCCCTGAAGCTGCATCAGAGTTGGAGGATGATCCGGGTTGTGAAGCTTTAGCAACGTCCAGATGAGCTGGACCGGGCGGCAAAGGGTCCATCTGCTTTCGGAGTGGCCGACTGGAGGAATCCTTTTCATCATTGGCCGAAGATTTGAGCGGCCTATCATCCACATCCCTCCTCATAGCCGCAAGGGAGCTCAAGAGCGGATTGCCGCCCTTTGAGCCCCTTCTCGAAGGCCCGCGTCGCAATGATGCCATCTTCTTCAGACTACTCTTGATGGTCGAATCCTGCGCATGGTGTCCCGAGACACTCGTTGCAGCAGTGCCTGATCGCTCCTCATCTTCCTCTCCCCACTCGCTGTCGCTCTCCCCAACATCCACTGGAAACGCACTCATGGTGCTTCGAGAGTCTGAGCTGAGCATGCCGGACGTCGTAGCACTGCGCTGACTGTACTCGGATGCGCTGGCGGTATAGCCAGCACTAACCTGCTGATCATTGCCGTACCGTGTGCTGGAGGGGGGCTCGCTGCTGGGCGTCATTCGGGCTGAAGATGGCGATGGGGCCTCTAGCGCATCGGGTGACAAGAAAGGGACTGAAAGGGTCATGCGTCCTCGTCTGTCGTTGATATCTCGTGCGGACGTGGAAGCCCATTGGGAGGGCGAGCCGCTCAATCCTAGATAATCTCCTGCTGATGCCGGCTCCGAGGTGACTTCGACGTCGTCAGGCAAGTCCGAGTGCAAATCGCTCTCGCCGGCGGTATCTCCCGAACCCTTTTGATCTCTGCGGAAACGAAGAGGAGAGACTGCACCAACCCCTTGCGCATCGCCTTGAAAGGAGTATGGAGAGGAGGCGCTGCGCCCTGATCCTGGAAAGGCGGCCAAACCGAGTAAGGGATCATCGGCTTGAAAGAGTTGAAAGAGGGGTGAATTGGCATTGGTGGGGATGGAAGATGAGGAAGATGGCGGTGCATGATCTGATGCGCGAGACATGGCAGAGTAGATGGGCGACGAGGTGGCAGTCAGTGCTGATGTTGGCGTTTGAGGCAGAGCGGGCGAAGGCGCATCGCCAGACGAGCCAGACGATCCTGCGTCATCTCTACGTGCTCCTCGAATGTGTGAAGAGCTGCCTCTTGACGTGGGTGCTGTGGTCATTTCGCCGCTCATGAGTCTCGATACTGCTATGGTCCGATTCGTCGATGAAATCACGATACTTGCACGCCTGACGACACCTAGGACACTCTATGAACTCTTGCGTGAGCGGGACGTGCTGTGAGTGCGCGCCTGCGCGCAAAGAGGGTCTCGCCCGCCACTCAGACTTGTCCTGGCGCAACGAAGCGCAAGCGCGGCTGCAGCACTTGGATCGACCACGTTCTCGCGATGGTGATGCCGGTACAAATTTTACGTTGAAGTGTTAAGGTGGGACGAGATTGACGATTATTGATGCCAGCCAGCGCTCAAAGGCGAGGGACTGAAGAGTGTTGTAGCGGCTGCTGAGCAATCATAGCCAAGAGTCAGAGCCGATCCGCTGCAATCCAGGTGAGAGTGGAATAAAGTAGGGTGACGTGTGATGAGAAAAGAAGTGCCGGTGTGCAAGAATGGATGGAGAGTCTAGAGGGCAGACAGTTGAGTGAGAGTCTGTTGAGTGGCGATGAGATACAATGGGCACTGGACACTGCAGCTGAATATGCCAGTCGACCGAGAAGGACGGATGTGGGAGCGCACTGTAAGCGCGATAGCAGGTGGTTCGGGACGCATCATATGCCATTCAAGATTCAAGCATTTCAGATTCGGAGCGCAGGGCATGGAAGGGCCATCGACGGGTGCATGTTCCTACAGTCACAAGTCACGAGTAGCCAGCCATCCATGCATCGCAGCTCCGACGGCCCATGTACGGTACTGTACGCACGGTACTCAGACACGGTACTCAGACTCAAGACGGACACAGTCACAGTACGGTGGTCTGGGTAGCTAGCTACTGCACATCAGCTTTGGCTGGCTGCAAGAGCAGAAGCAGAGAGAGGCCAGAAGGCTGACACCTGAGACGTACACACCCAGCGCGTGGCTGCTGCGCTGCGCTGCGCTGC